ATCTCCTTCAAATTTCTGAATGCATTCTATAGAATGTTCAGCTTCCTATTTTTTGGAGTATGAAGATTTTTATAAGGGAAAGATATATTTCATATTTTTGTGTGAATATCATAGACATTATATATTTTATATTTTTAGATGAATGTCATATACACCATGGATCTCTTATTTTTGTATGAATATCATAAACATCACAAATTTCATATTTCTAGATGAATGTCATAGACACCATGGATCTCTTATTTTTGTATGAATACCATATTATATTCCATATGCTATATGTTCAATATGCAATCATACTCCTATTACATAATATATAACAGTATTATATTACTACAACGTACAATAGTATCATCTAGTATTATCTTTTCAGTACCCTTCACAGATCATTTTTCATACTTCAGCATTTCATTGATTATGTTACGTCTGGAACAACGCACGAATACTAAACGTCTAAAAGTGGAGACGCGGCAGTTCTTCCGTTCTTAATAAAATCCTACCCTGTATTGTCCCCGAACGCGTACAGGAATTTACCGGGTGCAATAATCTCGATGCAGAAATGTTAGCTCTATTTGATAGCCCACGGCTACCTCGTTATGTGTCCTTTTTATTGCCACGTCAGCTGTTCCGTTTATCAGAAAACCGTGCGAATCGTTGCGGAAGCGAGCGGATAATTGGGCAAATATTTCTTTGGGATTGGCATTATTACTCCGAGGATCGATACGAGATTTGTGCGTAGACATTCTACCGTATCGAGAAATATACTGCAAGGTTTCTAATAATTCTTGTTCGGAAGCCTATAATAGAGGTCACATAATAGGTCACAGATAATAGAATTTTTCAGGACGTGTGTTCGAAACGAAAATATTTTTTATGTCTCTTAATTTGTATTGTAAAAATAAATTTGCGTTACGAACTAGACTTATGATAAACGGTGGCTAAGCTAAATTAACGTTTTTAAAGAATTGACTTGCAGATAAAAATTCAATTTAACTTTGGAAAAATTGTATTCATGGAAACTTCATTGGTGTACAAGTATAGAAGTTGTGAATGCGATTTACTGTAAACCATAAATAATCAATAGTGATAATTTACAACGTCTCTTGGCGTTTCATTTGTGTTATGAAATATTCCTACATGTGTTAGATATGCATACTAAAATTTTCGTTACATACATTGGACTTGCATAATAAAATTTTCGTCACAAAAATCGGATGTGTATAATAAAATTTTCGTTACATACATCGTATTTGTATAACAAAATATTACATATGTTAAATTTGTATGACAAGATTTTAGTTACATACATTATGTTTATATAAAAAGATTTCACTTGCGTATTTCTTTATGCAACAAGATTTCAGTTATACACATCAGATTTATAATAGAATATCTCCTTTAAGAACCGACAGAGCTCATTGGCCAATAAAACGTACTTCAATCAGAAAGGAATGCACAATTTATAGAAAAAAATATTTTCAAAGAGACTGCGAGATGAGGTCTCAGAAATGGTCGGAATGTAAGAGAAAATTGGAGAAAGGAGTCCCGAAGGATTAACGTGTCGAGACATCGTATCGAGTTTCTGTTCTTTTTCGCGGTGACCGTGTGCTCGCAACGCAGCCGCATATTTCATAACGAGAACAAGCCCGAGGACGTCGACGACGCCGACGTCGTGACGCAGAGAAATGAGAATGGAAGAGTCGTTAGTGTGAAACAGAGAAGATCATCTCCATCCACGCTCCATTTTTCTTTCGCGAACTTATCGCGGTAACGAGCACTTCCAGGAACGGCCTTTCGTCGATTTTGCAAATACTTTAACTCGATCATCGAGTTCCTCTTTGCTTATTAGTCACTGAAAGAAAATGATACCGCAGAAATAGAATTTTCAAGAATTACGGAAATACCAAATATTCAGTTTTCTAACGTTTGATGAAGAAAATGGGGACTTTGCAAGACAAGTAATATTATCAACTGGTTGTCAATTGTTTAAGACTTATATTTGACAATTCACATTTCTATTACAATGGTTACTACCCCGATGCAGCCATGCACAGCGTTGATTCACGAATAAAACATTAGACACTCTATAATGCAATACGGTACTTATAAATAATGTATGAGGCACTTACAGTTGGTTACAATTGTTTCTTCTTAAATTTTAATAAGAACTAAGAAATAAATGCATGCTATATCTTCCTAATTTTGTTATAAGTATTTTATTTATTTTTTTAGCACGTTATAGTTGCTAGTTTTCTTTCTTTCATACATGTTTCTTTCACATAATTAAACTAAATATCACGTGTCATTTTTTACTACTGCGACAGTGAACAGAGTTCTATAAATTACGAGAATTCTACAACACAGAAAATCAGAAATGAAAATTATGTTATTTAAATGTAATCCTAGAACGTACGAAATTTCAGCTTGAGAGACGAATATATGTCATTTTTTTCGAAGAGGTGCAACATTATTTGAAATATTCACACAAGGTAGCGCCATGCAATTTAAAACGTTGACTGGTACAGTGAAAGCAGACGTGTGTAGCAAGTCACATTAAAAGACTAATTATGAGGCATTAGTAGTCGGACGCGATTAAGGCTGTGGTTACAGTACATGCATTTTCTAACGAATAGTGTAATATCATCGCTCGTGTAGTTTTTTTGCTTTATTCTTTTTTATCTGTCAGAAACTGGCGCCACTGTCACCACGAATTAATGAATTATAGAGTGATTTTTATAATGGGTATAGATTGCTTTAGGAGTGAATTTTGAATCCCTAAGGATTTATTGGCTTATGTTTAAGATTAAATTAAGATTTAATTTAATTTAAGATTAACTTACTGACCCTTATCGGTCGTGAATCACCTCTCACGTATCAACACTTCTTTGGCGCTGAGGTCGCACGTTACATGGGAGGTGACAATGATGGAACCTGTCGAAATTCTAATTTTCGAGAAGGTGAAACTGCGCAATATGGAACGTTACTGACAACAGACAATGAGGATAGATTAGATGGAAAACTACATATTTTGCAACTTGATGCTGAAGGAAAACATAACCATTTGAGATTTCTAATTTTGAGACTGCAATAATTCAAAAATCTCCAAATTCGTCTAATAAATATTGCAATACTCAACATTACAGTATTACAATATAAAAAAAAGTGTTTCCATTTCTATTAATCTCGAGTGTTCCATATTTTCCTCCCACACAGAAAAATTTCGACGTTTCTTTCTTTCCAATTACCAACAATATCTGCAGAATATTATAAATCGTTTAAAACACACGTAGTTCCATTACCTCGTTCTTTGACGGCCTTAATTCCCTTAAATGCGACAAACACGGAGATTTCTTATTAAGAGAAAAATAAAAGCGAGCAATTGCATGCTTTTTAATTACAGAGACACGCAGAACGTAAAGATTGCTGGTGCGTGTGCGATTCGTTCTCGATGAAAAAAAAAGCTGTACGTTCGCGTAAAATTAAACGAGAGGCATTAATTGCTTCGAACTCGCAAGCGCTCGGCCAAAAGGATGCTTTTTCCAGTCGTTCATAGCCCATTGAACTCGTATTTCCTTTTTTTTTATCGATGTGCCGTATCGATCTTAATAAAACGATTCTGTCTAACTTCTCAGAAGATATGATCGAACCAAAGATTGTGATGTCAACGCGATCAGAAAATCAATCGCTATTTAATCTCAACTGTACTTGAAATTGTTTTTAGTCTATCAACGGAAATTACGAACTGGTAATATCACGTTTTTAATTATATCCTTCGTGAAATATTATACTTGATAAATACGATTGATCGCGTTAGGTTAGCATTAGATTAGCAAAGTTAGGTTAATTGGGTTAGCAAATACGTGATTGCAGATTTTATCGATAGATGGCTTTCGTACATTCTTTTCTTCTATTTATGTGTTCTAAACACTTTAACAGTATGGTTTCTTTGGACTTTAAGGGTAAAGTCCAACTTTAAGGGTGAAATCTGGTGACAGGACTAACTTTTTTCGCAGCTCACAAATTCTTTTACTAAATTTCCATATTTTCAAATTTTCGAATAATTAATCAACAATTTCAAAATTTCCAACGTCACTTTCTAAAGCCATCAGATTCAATTTAGAACCTATTTAATTTAGAAATATGGAATTTTCAAGTTTTTTGAGTTTACTAATTTCTTAATTTCTCTATTCCAAAATTTTTGTACACCAAACTTTCTAAATAAATCCTTAAATTCCCAACTTTGCAAATACATATCTCCTCAAATTTCCATCTTTGGGAATTAACAAATCACCAAACTCCCATCTCTCAAAATTCATAAATCTCCAAATTCCCATTTTTCAAAATTCATAAATCCCCTAATACCCATCTTTCAAAATTGATACATCCCCAAATTTCCACCTATCAAAATTCAGAAATCCCCAAATTCCCAACTTAGCAAAGCCATAATTCCCCAAATTCCCATGTTTCAAAATTCAGAAATCCCCAAATTTCCATCTTTAAAAATTCAGAAATCCCCAAATTCCCAACTTAGCAAAGCCATAATTCCCCAAATTCCCATGTTTCAAAATTCAGAAATCCCCAAATTCCCAACTTTGCAAATCCATAATTCCCCAAATTCCCATCTTTGAAAATCAACAAATCCCCAAATTCCCATCTCTCAAAATTGATAAATCCCCAAATCCCAACTGTTAAAATTTCCAAATCCCTAAATTCTCATCTTTTAAAATTTATAAATCCCTAAATCCCCTAAATTTCTAAATTTGTACAATTAAATTTCCAAACATTCTTCAGCGAAACCCAGATTTGCTCTCGGATGTACATTATTATATCTGATCGAATAAAGGAATCGCAAACGATAAGATCCAACGATTCAATTACGTCGTGATTTAACGTCGCGACAAGCCCGTAGAAGTTTCCTTCTTAAAGCGGCAAACACCCTTCTTAAGGGGTCTGTTCCCAGAATCGGCATTGGTGACTTAATTAAAGTAATTACAGGTAGGATGGAACAGAAGCAGCGATATCTCGAGGAGCAATTGCAAAGGAGGGAATCAGAAGTCTCGGAATTGCGTCGGGATTTCCGTGAACTTCGAGCGAAATTTTTCCAGCTCGAGCGAGCTTTTCAACTCAACTTGCAACTTCAGAGCCGCCAAGAAATCGAGTTTAATCGTGTAAAACTGCAAAATCAGGGTAAGTAGCTGCACAAGTTACGTCTTTGCTGTTTCTCTTATTATCCGACCTATCGCGAACATCGACGTTTAACCGCGAAATCGTTTAAATTAGAATATCAAATCGTTTCGAACAGGCATTATTTAATCGTGAGAGCACTTTGGTAAACTGCTGGCAAGTTTGATACTTGTTAAAAGAAACCAGCAGTTTATCTCGAGTGTTCTCAAATTATCTCCAACTATCGATACGAATATACCTGTGGGACATTTCTTGTATCGATTCATGAAATTCAATATGCTCGTTAATCCACTCGTCAGAAATGTGTAATTGTTTTCATACGGCTTATTTTTATTCGATATCGAATTGATTCAATTAGGAAATCGAATTTTCAGCGGTTGTTTCGATTAATATTACACTGAGATGAATTTTTTTAAGCGATTTATTCGGAATTAGATCTCTAGTGAACCTGTGTTTATTTTAGAAATGTTTTCTGATTTATGTTTGAAGTCAATGCGCATTGTGTGCTTAGACTAGTGTTAATATTTAACTAAATTAATGGCAATCTTTGATTCAAGCTGAATTGTATGATTTCGACCTGAACTGCAAGCAAGGTTTTGAAAGTTAAATATGGAAACATTAGAAATCGATAATTATTTTGAAATCAAGGTTTAATTAAGAGACAGTGAAGTTTTACCCTTTATTGGAGATCTAACTAGAATGATGTCTAGGATTTAGTCTTTGGACTTATAATTTTTTTATTTCAAGCCTAAGAATTTACTAATAGCAATTTTAACGAAATACGTATTAAACAAGTTTTATGATGTCTAAACTAGGAGTCAGAACATAACAAAAAATGATCTTTTATTAATTCATAAAAATTTATCAAAGTTTCTTGATCTTTCTTAAAAATCAGCCTCCAGATAGATGAACCATAACGTTGTATTTTTGATAGTATGTCAGGGTTAAAAAAACTGTAACATGAGGGTATCTGTTGTAGAATTTGTACATCATCTCGGGTTCTCCGTGGAATGTCCTAATTGAAATTCCTATAGGAACAGTGCACCAATTCCACTGTGATCAATTATTTGCTACAAATGACATTTAGGCATCTCGTACTAAAGTACTAATCAAAAATGTACAGTCACCGTGATTAAAATTTATAAACATAGCCAAGTGCCATTTTAAAGAATAGCGTACGAAAACGAACGCGCAGAGAGAATTTGATGAAAAAGTTCATTCGAAAGTTTGGACAACGGAGTTTGCGTCGGTGCTCGCCAGCTGAATGAAGATTGCGAGTGCGAAGAAATTAATATCCAACCGATTCTTCTAGAACTTCGAAAGATCAACGACGATACTTTGCGGACGAGAACGGAGTTGAATTCCCGATTAACGAACGCAGTGATCGAGAAGGATCATTGGCGAAACGCTTTTTTGCAGCAAAAAGAGCTCTTCAACAGGTACGTGCAAATTAATTCGAGATTCTTGCTTATTTTGTGAACGTTCATTATTTACAGTTCGAATCCTGGATATAAACTTGTACTATATTGTTAATTTAATCGTTTCATGGTCTCATATAAGGACACGTTAAATAAATTCCTGGTGTATCTTTCGGTAAATTTAACTAATTATAGTTGTCTTCACATTGTCACATTCTATTTCTAACATCTCGGAAATATTTTATACAACTGAAAAATTTTTGATTCAAACAACTATTTAGCAAAGGCACAACCTCTTGAAAAATAAATAATTCGTGAAAGTGTTAAAATATCTACGCAAGTTCAAAAGTGTACAAAAATTGACGCTTTTGAGACTTACATTTGAAGCTAAAAAAATAAGATAGCCGTTTGTTGTTAAGAAATTGATACAATTTAAAAACTGTAAAGGAAATGAAAGTGAGAAGTATATTTTATGAACCTGGAGAATTAATTACACTAATGGTAATCCATTAAATCTCGTTTAAAACTGCATGGATTTCCATCGCGTTGAAGGACGTACCTACAGGGGATTAAATTAATTAACATTCAGCACATAGGTTTACGGGGACACGTTGTTTTCCATGAATCTCGATTAGCCGAAGAATCGAGCCATCGTTTTTCACGAACGAAGAGAAAAGAATCGAATCGAGGTAGAGAGAATCGACGAGCATTGGCACAATTTGATTCGCTGAGAATCTATAGGAAACTCAATTGCGGATTCGCGATCGTCGACTAAAACAATCGGATTATCGATGTGAAAAATATACTGAACGATATTCGCTCGCCATTGTTCATTCGATCTTCTGTTATGAATTTAAACGCTACGCTGACTTTGTTTCGATCGTGCCATTAGCGGACTTTTCAAGCACGATTAGACAGCAATTTTTTTTGTTTGATGGATTACTCCTTTCGCATACACCCTGTTCCAATATTAATGATACAACCGACAGAGATAATTCTGCGCGGAAAAAAGAACGAACTGGTTATTGCCATAACGCGACACATGATTTTTCACCCTCTTTCTGATAAAAAAATGTTTGCTACAAGAGCTGCAGGGTGTATACTATACATATCACGCATATTGGTAAAAAACCATTCGAAAACAGTTTGTTTTCATAACGAAATCGAGGTCAGAGGAAGATGAGAGGGAAGAAAACAACTTTTTTGTGCCACCTTGATGTAAATATTAATGTGCAATTTATGTTTATGCTATTAATATTCAATTTATGTTTTAACATAAAATTTATATATATACAATGTACATACAGTGTATGTATATGTAATTAACATAAAATTTATGTACATACTATTTACATACACACATATGTATGTATTATTAACATAAAATTTATGTACATACTATTTACATACACACATGTGTACATATTATTAACATAAAATTTATGTACATACTATTTACGTACACACATTGTGTACATATTATTAACATATAATTTGTTATGCATACATCATTTTCTTATACAAATACAATTTATCTAAAAATGAATAACACAACTTTATCGTGAAGAATGTGTGTCAGCCATTGACAAATTATGATTAGACACGATCCATCACAATTTGTTATCTTAACTCTTCTCACCGAACCACATTTTAAAATGAATATAAATAGTTCCCCACAGTTTCAAAGCAAATGAGCAATTTTATCGATTTTGTTCGAGTTTGTTGATTCGAACATAGATTTTTGGACCTTCGTTACTGGTAATGACACAATGCGAGAAAATGTATTGGTACGTGTTTTCGAACGAAACCATGAGTCACGCACGAATAAGCAACTAACTATTAACACAATTATGGAAATTTGATGGCTTATTTACGTCACATAGCAATAGCGAGCACCGGCTAATTCGCTATCGACGGATTATTACATGTCGGCCACAGGCTCGAGGAAATGGAATATTTAGAATTACACGGATCCGGATCCGCGCTGTAATTGGAATTTTGCGAGTGGTTTAGACACCATTGCGCATATCAAACGCGTATATGATCCTTTAGACCGAAATGCGAACAACTAACATCGGTTCGGTGCATAATTAGATGCAACTACGTATTTTTCTTGATCTAGCAGCTAATTTGTAACTTCCCCTTGGAAAGGAAGCTTGGAAATCAAGGTTCTCATTTTGTGGCTGTTAACACGACAAGTTTTTGTTGAATATGTTTATAAATTTTGAAATTTGTGGATCAGATCGATTTGTTTTGACTATGTTTTCAAACAGAAGGTACTATTAGCCTAAACCATTAAATATTGAAGTTAAATGTATTATTTAACTATTTCAATAATTATTCTTGTACTAAGACCTAACCTAATCGTTAACATATAACAGAGATTTCATGTAGATAAATTATTATATGTTTAAAATAAATTATTATTTTCTAAAATCATCTTATAGAAAAGAAATGTGTAAGTCAATATGATATACTTTTTTAAACAAGATTTACATAATAGTTTGTTCACATTAGTAAGAAACATACAATTAACAATGAAATCAGGAGAAAACTTTTCATTTACAGAATCACAAAAAATCAAAATGGTCGGAGCAACAGTTTCGTTAATAATTATTTAGTATTTCTTAACATTGCATTTCGGAATTGATTTACTTAGACCAACTCGAAAATCTCATTTATTTATATGTAAGTGTATGTGTACAATCAAATATACTATAAAATAAATGTAGTATATACACTATAATAAAAATATATAATAAAAATGAATATGTAGCATGTAAATACTATTATACCATAATATAAATATAGTACAATATTTATGTATAATATAAATACAAAATCAATTATATAATCTTGTTGTATTATTAAAAAATGACTATTATAAAAAGAGCATAAAACACGTGCAGCAATATGCAGTTTTTACCTTACATAAATATCAAAAGATATCAAAGAATATTTTACTTTATAAACAAAGAGTACTCTTACTGTATTTCAAAGAAAGACAAAGCATCAAAGTTTGATCCAAGCAAGCAGAGGTATAATTGGTCGGCCATATTTCCCAGTGTGCACGGCCATGGAACTTCTAATTCCCACTATAGTGTTAAATACCACAGTGCTTAGAGCAGCATCGCAGACCCATTAATAATTCGATGCCAGGATGTACTTTACAGCTTCACGAAATGTCTCCTCAGTGCCACGTACCTCACTAAATCGTGTTTTAATTTTGATCTAGTAATTGTTTCCTTTGAGTAATAGCACATCTTTGCGTGCATATTAAATGCAGAATTAATTAGCTGCAGAACTCTTTAAGAATATTAATGAATGCCATTGGTTTCTCAGTTTTGTAGGAGCTTTATTGTTAGTGGATTTTGTAAGGAGTATCTTTAAGAAATTTTAACTTACATAATTTTATGATGTAACTTTGAATTATTGTGTTAATGAAAATAATGTAATAGACATTTGTCTGTAGTTTTCGATATTTAAGTTTATTTGGTGCGTTAATCAGAACTAACTAATCATAGGTGCAATATTAAAACAGAGAAAAAAAGTTTAAATGTTATGTCAATGTAATACATTTTGAGAGAGGAATTTGGAATTTAGTATTACAGAATATTTGGGATTTAGGAATTTGGGAATTTGAAATTTGACATATACAATTTCTAATTTTCTAATTTTTCAATTTTTCAATTTTTCAATTATTCAATTTTCCAACTTTCTAATTTTCCCATTTCCAATTTTCCGATTCTTAAATTTTCCCATTTTTGCATTCTTGAGTTTCCTAATTTTTCCATTCTTAAATTTATCCAATTATCCCATTTTCTCATGCTTAAATTTTCCAATTTTTCCATTCTTAAATTTTTTCAATTTTCCAAATCTTGAATTTTTCCATTTTCTCATTCTTGAATTTTCCAATTTTTTCATTCTTAAATTTTTCCAATTTTCAATTTTCAAATAAATTTATAGACAAAAGAAAGGTCGTCATACGTCACAGCGGTACATTTGAAAACGTAGAAAGACTAAAGTGACGTAAAATGTCTCAAAATGTTTACATCATGTCAACTTGCAGCTTACAGTTTGATAAAAATGAGTACACAAAAGGTGTCCTACAGCGATCAATATATATTGTCAATATTGTCAATATTTATCGACAGTGTTTGCTCTGTGTATTCGACATTTACTGACTGCACGGTTAGTTTGCATTCGATATTTAGTAATGTTTTATCAAAGAAGCACCTGGGCAGCCATTATTGTATTTGCTGTCAGTAATTGATAATAAAATATTTGTATTTTTAGTAAACCTTGTTAATGTATTAATGTATGTTAATTGTTAATGTGTTCAGAATTTTAGAATTTAGAAATTTGAAAGTTTAGGAAGGTAGCAATACAGAAACTTAAAAATTTAGAAATTTAAAAATATAGAGATTTAAAAATGAAAAAATTTAGAAATTTAGACTTCTACATTTAGAAATGTAGAAATTAAAAAATTTGAAGCTTTGAAAATTAAAAACTTAAAACGTGAAAAATTATCGTATTCACAAATTTACAAACTTTCAAGCTCAGAAATATACAAATACAAAAATTCAAAAATTAACAAATTTAGGAGCTTGGAAATTTAGAAACATAGAAATTCAGAAATGCATACAATCAAAAATTTTGATTATACATGAAAATTTCATATTTCCCTACCAAGAAATTAAGTACCTACCACAACCTTATACCAAGAGTTTTCAAAAATTCCTAAAAAGAAACAATAACAATTCCCTGAAAATGATCAAAGATACATTCTAATACAAAAAAGATTCTTCAAACGTCACATACACAAAACCCATTAAATGCATTGCAGTTTCATTATTGCAAATTAATATTGAAACACCCGGTTACCATGTTAAATTACAAATCCGATGAATGGTGATTTTAATAATCGCGATTTAATTTCGTATTCACGTCACAGACCTCTGAGCCGAAAGTAATTAATTCGGCGGCAGTTTTCATCGGAAACGAGGATTATCATTTTCGAT